TGATTTTAAGCCGATATTTCATTAATTATATTATTTATATTTATATCATCTATACGATATTCGAATGTTTGTTTTTAAATGTTTCACCTAGCTATCTTCCAAATATCAGCCTTTTATATTAAAAAATTTTGACCAGTGCAGAGTAGTATACAGATTGGTAGTGGGAGGTGTTTGTTTCTCAAGCAAATTGACACTTAATTTAGCGATCTGTTCAGTTAATTGTTCAATAGCTCTGTCTGTGCTTTGGCCAGAGTTGGTGGCCATAAGTCTTCTAGTTTCCCATCTTCTAGTAGCAGTAATAGCTGCAGCTAAAGTAGCAGGTTCTGAGGCTTGTACATTGATTGCATATTCAGGACAAAGGCTTTAGACAAAAAGTTGAACTATAAATAGATTAAGGAAAGCATTTCTAGGGTCAACTTGATCTTGCAATTGTTTAAACTTGTTGACATAGGTGTCAATAGTGTCTGTGTCTTGTTGGATAGTGAAAAGTTGTTGCTGCCAAATGGCTACTTGAGTTGGTGTACTAAATCTGGTTTTGAATAGGGCTTGGAAGTTTCTGGCTCCATATTGGTTAGAATTGTAGTGGTTGGGTGCATTGGTTAAGCTATACAACTATTTTTTTGCATTGCTTTCTATATATACGCAAGCAAGTTTTAACTGTCTAGCAGGTGTCCAATGATTAATTTGAGCAGCTTATTCAAAATCTTCAAGCCAAGTAACAGGTTCTTGGGTTCTATCACCTCGGTAAAGATCTATCTTTACAAGGTCTTTTCGCTTTTTTGTTCAAGTGTGGTAGCTAACTAAGCCATAGCTGCGGCAGCATCTTGTAAAGCTTGTTCAGCTATTGTGTTTGCTGGCTCTTCTTTGTCTAAGTTAGGATTTAAGTGCTGTTGGAGACCGGGTCCTTGTATTTAAAAGGATAGTTGGTTCGCAGCATCATCTTTGTCATCTTCGTCTGAATCTGAAGGTACTTCTAGTCAAGCTACTTGGTTGGTAAGAAGGGTGGTAAAAGATTTTAAGCTGGTGGACTATAAAGTATTATTGCCTGGGGAGTAGACTGGATTGGAGAAGGATTTTGAACAGGTGGATGAGGGGGAGGTGTGGCTATAGAAGCAGGTTTTTGAGTCTGAGGGTAGTTTTTAGAGAGCGATAGAGGTTGTACTGGAGTAGCAAATAGGTTGATATAGCTTGCAAAGTGGGCAATCGGATTTAGAGGCTGATTAGTGGTTTGGTTACTAAATAAAGATAGGTTAGTATGAAATGGTTGGGAAGGTAGTCTATTAAGTGTTTGATAGGTAGAGTGTAAAGCAGGGGGTGAGAATAAAGTAAGAGGAATATTAGTAAATGGAAGTGACGGTGTTTGACATAAGTCTCTTGTAGAGAATAGAACTTGGGTAGTATCCTCGTTATAAAGAGATAAAGAAGTGTTAGAAGTGGTGCAATGGGTTCAATTGAGTCTGGGTCTAAATGTCCAATAGGTTGATAATAGGGTATAGAAATACTAAAATCAGATAGGTGATCTAAAGGTATAGGGGAAGCAAGAGTTTCTAAATTTCTTAAGGCTTGTTCAGTATCAGTAACATAAGGTAATCAAGGTGAATGGTCTGAGTTTTTAATATAGGTATCAAAAATATTTGATTCAAAATCTAAAGGTAAGTATGCTTTAAGTTGATATCAGGTATAGGTTGTGAGGAGTACGCTAACAGTTCTTTTGGGGTTCTCTAAGGGACTACTGTATTGGCAACTAAAAATTATATCTCTAGCTGAGGTCCTGGTTGTCCTATAATCAAGGTTGGTTGTTAGATCAAAGTGTGTAGTAACAGTCTGTTGAGTATAAGAAATAGCCTTATATGTGCTTTTGTACCAGTACCAGAAAGATCGGAAGGTATAATAAAAGTTGGTAGCAGGATAATACTGGCAACAAGAATCGTCTGGTCTTAATACTTGGACAAGAATCGTCTGGTCTTAATACTTGGATAGTATCAATAGAGAGGCTAGTATTCTGGTGTTCTAACTCATGTTCTCGAATTCTCTCTAGATGTAACTAATAGGCTCTTTGCATAGAGCACTATTGGTACTTGTTCTTGGGGTAGCTGTAATAATTAAATTGTCCTGGGTATAATCTATATCTTGGGAGGGTTGGAATTACTTACGCCTACACTTTGGCTCATGGTTAATTTGTGCTTAACACTTGTTAAGGTTCGCAGTAAGCTGCTAGCTCTTCGGGGTCTAACCGGTATCCAAAATCTACAACTAGGGGATCTAACCCTAGAGGCATAACGAA